TGCAAACCAGGGGAATTTTTGGATGCTCTGACTTTGAGGTGGCTGTGTTGTACCTCTTCATTTTGATGCTAAAGTTCTTCAAGCACCTTGCATCAAGCAGATGCCGGTGAACTAATTTGAATACTTTAATCCTTCACTGTGCCTTCGCCACTCTTGTGTCGGCTGAATCATTCTTGGCTTTGCACACATGAAGCTCTGCTTATTGGACGCTGAAGCACGGCCGCTTGAAGGTCTTTTAAAGCCAACAAGCGCTTGAATGTGGTGATCAACACCCTGACACACTCTGTAAAAGATGTGTCCCACTTTGGCATTGTGTTTCTGACGATTTTTCTTTGCACCTCGGCCATCCTGATGAAATTTGATTGCAAGTTCTATCAAGTTCTTGTAGGCGATTGTTACGATTGCGATGGATTGTGCCGTCAGAGTGTGTATTGTCACCGTTACTTTAGCTCATTAGAACTACTACTGCAAAACCCTGCCTTGGCATTCCAGATCTGCTCAGGGTATTGTAGGTGTTCCATGTTTCTGTACTGGCCAGTAGACACGCGCACAGGCACACGAAACCTGCAGTTTGTGTATGTCAGTATCCCATGATTCTTGTGTCATACCTTCGTATTGAATGCCAAGGCTATGCTTGGGCTGCCCACGCTTCTTGGAATCGCAGGGGTTTGTTTTAAGTGTGGAACAGAAATTGGAAGGCTTGTTCCATCTTGTTACATCAGTTTGTGTTTTCATGAGAACCTTTCAAGGCGAAGCGATTGCTACGACAAACGCTACTTGCTCCCCATCCTATGCATTTCTATGCAAGCAAGAAGTCACCTTTTCATTGAAAGCTGTTCATCACTTTTCTATTTTGATCTATTTTGTGAATTGCTGAGCCGAATATGGCACTGACACTGGCCTAAGAATGGCCCAAGAATTGAAGAATTGCATCTAAACTCTTCCTGTTCAACCCAAGCCTCTCTGAAGCATAAGATTCGGCAAACTTCGCGCTGTTGATTTTGATATTGGACAGCCCCAAACACCAGTCGTGTGCAGTAATGTGATACTAGACTGATCCCTGGTGCCTTTTACCTTTTGGCACCAGATAGAATTGTCATGAAATGTCATGAATATTCATGAACTATCTATATAATAATCAGGTCTAATTCCAATCATATCTCATCCGGTAGAATGAGTCAGAGGTTTCCGAATTTCTCTGTTGTTCTGCGCGCTGCTCTTTTCGCCACCGCTTTTCCTCTCAGTTCAGCATCAGTTAAGGTTTTCTTTGGTGGGAACATTGAAGCTGCAAGTTCCATGTTTGGAGCGATCTATTGGCGATGGTCTGGCTGCTTGTCAGCTACGATTTGCCACAACTTCCAAGCACTCCACCCACAAATACGCACAACCTCGGTTCAAATTTGGACATACATGTTCCATGATAACTTTCCAGTTTGCACATGCAAACTACCTAGCTAGCAGGTCGGGGGTTCGCTTGGAGCGCCGAAAAGTGGATCGCTTAGAGCGCCGGAAAGTGGATCGCTTGGAACGCCGACAAGTGACATAAGAGATACATAGCGCTAGAGTTGCATATATACACAGAGGCATATAGACATATAAATGGATGCATTCATATGTCGCTGAAGCACGCAGGTAGTCATATGGGCAGATGCACGCAGATATACATTCCACGCGATCCGCTTTTCGGCGCTGGAAGAGCATCATACAACGTATCACTTGAAGAAGATATGACAACGTGTGAGGAACATCTGGCAAGTTACTTGAAGAAGAGTTTACAACGTATCAGGAACGTCTTGCGAGTTACGTCCAGAAGATGTTACAACGTATCAGGAACATCTGGCAAGTTACTTGAAGAAGATGTTACAACGTAGCAGGAACGTCTTGCATGTTACTTGAAGAAGTTGTTCCAACGTATCAGACACGTTTTGCAAGTTACTTGAAGAAGATGGTACAACGTATCAGGAACATCTGGTAGGTTACTTGACGAAGATCTTACAACGTATCAGGAACGTCTTGCAAGCTACTTGAAGAAGTTGTTCCAACGTATCAGGCACGTTTTGCAAGTTACTTGAAGAAGTTGTTACCACATATCAGTAACGTTTTGAAAGTTACTTGAAGAAGATGTTACAACGTATCAGGAACGTCTTGCAAGTTACTTGACAAAGATGTTACAATGTATCAGGAACGTCTTGCAAGTTACTTGCCATCCAAGGCAAACCTGCGTTGAACAGGTGTACAACAAGGATGTTGCGCAGATGGGAAGTGAAAATGGGAGACAGCTAGCGTGAGCACATTCAACATGCATATCCTTGAGACGTATATGACAGTATATGATATACATATATATACACATATATATATACATATATATATATATATACATATATATATATATACACATATTTATATATATATTATGTAATTGTTTTTATTTATTTATTATTGATTTTTCTGTATTTCCTATATTTCATCACACTGGTATGCGACTAAAGGTCTCATTCCCTGGCGCTCTAATGTAATCCACCATGCTGGTCCCCTCAACCCACCCCATGTCCCAGCCCCGTGTCCCCACTTGTCCCCTAAACCCACCCCATGTCCCAGCCCCGTGTCCCCAAGTCAAACCCTCAAGGTCTGCGCATCATGTTTTCTAATCCACCATGCAACCCCGTGTCCCCACTTGTCCCCTAAACCCACCCCATGTCCCAGCCCTGTGTCCCCACTTGTCCCCTAAACCCACCCCGTGTCCCCAAGTGTTATCCTAAAGTGCTGGCCCCGTGTCCCCACTTGTCCCCTAAACCCACCCTATGTCCCAGCCCCGTCTCCCCACTTGTCCCCTAAACCCACCCCATGTCCCAGCCCCATGTCCCCAAGTGTTACCCTAAAGGTCTCATTCCACTGCTGGTCCCCTAAACCCACCCTATGTCCCAGCCCCGTGTCCCCACTTGTCCTCTAAACCCACCCCATGTCCCAGCCCCGTGTCCCCAAGTGGTACCTAAAGGTCTCATTCCACCATGCTGGTCCCCTAAACCCACCCCATGTCCCAGCCCCGTGTCCCCAAGTGTTACCCTAAAGGTCTCATTCCACCGCTGGTCCCCTAAACCCACCCCATGTCCCAGCCCCGTGTCCCCAAGTGTTACCCTAAAGGTCTCATTCTCTGTTGCTCTAAGTGATCCACTTGTTTGGTGCTCTAAGTGATCCCATGGTGCTCTAAGTGATCCGGTGCTCTAAGTGATCCATGTCCGGTGCTCTAAGTGATCCCTTAACCTAGCTAGCAGTGCTAGTGACTGGTTATCACAAAGCATGTGTTCTCAAAGTTCAAACATTGGCTATACATGGGCTATACGTATAATATACATTTCTTTCAGTGACTTGTTTCCCTGGTCCAGTTGGCAGAAGCGCGCAGAACAACGAGTGCAGGTGACATACTGCAATTGCTATGCTGAAGAGTCTATTGAATTCACTGAATGTACCTTCTACCTTCAATTTTGGCTATCAAACAAATTGAGCCAACATTTGAGAAATTGTTGATAGCTACATATAGCTATATATAGCTACATAAAGCTATACTAATATCATCTAATATCCTTAATCAACCTTGAGGTGCTGTAGACTCCACCGACATGGAAGACCTCACGGCTGTCGGCCGAGTTTCTTGTCCCAGGACGGCTTCTCGTGGCTGACGGCCTTTGAATGAGACATAGAATGATCATGAACGATGTGTAACGATGTGTAACGATATGTAACGATGTATGATGTTTCATTCAATTGATTTCAATTGTATGTATGAACATGTATTAACATTTGCATTCTGCAAATGTACAAGTAGATGCCAGCCGGCTCTAACTGGCTGCAATGCAAGCACTTCCAGAATGCGCAGCCAACTGAATGCAATGCTGAACATGCTTCCAAATCTATCCGACCAATGGATCCCAAGTTTCGACTAGCCTGCAATTTCATGCAGACAAATGCGGACCTACATTGACCCATGAGATCTCATGAGGTTCTTGGATATGCATATTCCCTGTCCTATGAATTCCTGGTCATCGGCTTAGAACCTCTGAGACGATGTTTCCTTTCAAGTTTTACACTGCTTTGAGCATTGACGATTCAGTTGTCAGTGTGATTTCCGTACAACGCCTTTCCACCAAGCAGTACAGAACAGATGGCGCCTTGACGTTTGATATAATGTCATGTCTATCCCGTCTATCCCGTTTCCTCTGCTTTTGGAATGGCAGGTGCTGAATCTACTCTTCGGCATTCTTTTTGGTTTGATTTTTGACGCTGAACAGCAACACATTTTTTGTTCAAGAACTGGCTCTGTTTGGCAGTTGCGCTTGCTCTGATGTGGTGACCTAAGCATATTTTGACTACTTTTATTTGTCGCCCTCAACTAGCTTGGAGATGAATATCATGCAGTTGATGCCATGTTCCTGACTCCATTTTTGCTTCTGCCAGCGTTTGGAATGTGGCTGGTTGCCATATTTCTACCATTCGCTCAGGAAGCATACGGACGAACAAGAGCAGAAGCTGGGAAGACCGACACCTTACTAACCCAGATCCGAAAATCGATTGCTGAAATGTGACCCGCTGAGAATTATTTTTCTGCGTTGGCAGGGGTAGATCTATATATATATATAATATAGATGGATCCTTTGCCAAACATGCATTGGAGAGCGAGTCAAATAAAACATAATAAAATATAATAAAGCTGGCTATTAATACAAAGCCACCGCTTACCAGTTCGAATTCATGAAATGTCATCTCCCATGTCATGACTTCAACGGCTTTAGAATGCTGAGCAGTTGTCCTGATATGTGACAGCAATCCAACAAGATGCCATCTAAAAGCCGTGGAGGAACGTGGGCTCTCCCAAAGAGTGAAAGTCTCTCAAAGTTCCCCTTCCAAAAGAAGAATTTTGCATTATTGAACCATTATTGATCATTATTGTAATATATCACATATACGTATTGTAAGTAAATTACTCATTGGTGACTTCTTGGGGAACCTCTTCTCCAAGTTCCACAGAGAAAGATGAGTGCCCACGTGTGGCAACGGATTTGAAGTTATTCAAAGCTTGTCCAACTAGATAAGGAAACAAAGTGTTGCGAGCAGCCCATGCATTTGAGCACAGGCGCCGAAAGAAAGATTTCGTCAATGATTACTTTATGATTTGTGCTTTGGAAGATGCTGCTTGGCAGAAAGCTTAGTGGCCAATGTATCTTGCAACCCAGTCGTACTCATTGTTTGAGACCTGCTGGTTTTTCCTTTTTACTCATTTACATGGTGGCTGGTTGTTAATTGCTGTCCTCTGCTTTCCTTCAGAAAAGAGACCCATTCCATAAACCATGGTTCATTGCTCCTGGCTTGATCATCTTCACAAAGACAAGTCTCAAGAGACTCTTGGACTGCGAACAGCAAGGAAGATGCACCAGCGCATCCTGGAGAGATTGTCACAGTGCGAAGTTTATGCGAAGCCTTCGCAAGCAGCAAGATGACTAAGGCAGGTGGGTGTGCAATGTTTGCCCGTTTCAACGTTGGCGCTTTCCTCCTTTCTGAAATTCATCAAATAATATATGGAAAAAGTACGAAAAAGTGAGCAGAACATATCAGAGTCTTTCCCTCTGGAGAGTTGCAAGGGACGTTCCAGACAACTGATGCTTCTGGGATGGTCGGTAAGCCTTGGGAATTGGTCATACAGTAGCCGAATGTGCTTCCATTGCAGAGGCCGGTCGGTCGAAATATGAGACTTCAGAGCTCGTTTATGACTAGACATAAGAAGCAGGCAGATCGTTTGAACTACATTCAGAGACTTGCATTTGCAGGAAAATGCTGCAACTTTGAAGCATTAAGTGAAGGTTTGGACATTGGCACGTGCAAGCACAAATGAAACAATGTCACACAATTGTTTGTATGTCTTTGCAAAGTTACTTGTTTCCCAATGTACATATATGTAGATCCTATGGGCTTGATTCGGTTGAAGAATCGTTGGGAATTGTTGGGAAGCTAAGGAGTACATAATTCAGCACGTCCGGGACTTCAAAATGAGCAAGTCACACGAGGCGCCCATGACCTGCAAGCGGATTGGTGAAACCTTTGAGTGACGTGTAGTTCAAACAGGGAAGAAATAACATGTTTACATATGTTGACTGTGAAGAGTTCATGGCACATCTGAAGTAGGTAAGTCAGGTAAGTGGAAGGCGGAATGGTTTCCCATGGTTTCCCGGTTTCTCCTTGAGTTTTCACTTTGTTGCTCTGACTGATTCCACCGAATGAAGGTCCTGCCCTGGAATCAGGCTGCCACTGGATCAGTTTGGTTTGTTCGGTGGTCAGGTCCACTAAGCAGAGACTTGCAATATATGTTCCAAATTGTTCCAATAGATGATAATAGGTTCCACTCAACCTTTACTCAACTCGCTTCCTGAGAGCACCTTGTTGGTTGAAGCTCCACTGGTTTTTTGTAAAGGGCAACAAGTCGGGAAGACCTGGGAGCACGGAAAAGCGATTGGGAAGTGCGCAGAAACAACGAAGAACGACTGAACTAGACAAGATTAGACAAGTAGTAGAAGTTGTACAAGTTGTACAAGTAGTACGCGGGCAAGCCGGAGGTGAACGTTTCACAGGAAAAGGACCAGGCCAAAGAAAGAGTGCGCCTGGATGTTTGCAAGACTACTTGTATCTACTTGTGCGTTGAGAGGGGTTTCTCTTGACATCTTTTTCTTGTTGCCATCTCATGCTCTTGACATCGCTTGCAGTCTGGTGATGTCTACTGAATAGTGATGTATAGTGAAATATAGTGAGATATTGAGTTGTGGATGTTGTGGTGATTGTGAATGTCGGTAACACGGAAGTTTCTCTCCTGAACTTCCTATCAACTGCAGAGCTTGTTTGAGCTTGCAGTGATCAAACTGGCTGGCAGTGTGCTGTGAGAAATGCCCCAACCCATTGCATTGTCGTTAGAAGACAACTTGTTCCTTGATACTTACTGGTACTTGCATGACTCTTACATGCATTTACGACGGTCAAGGGTGATTGCAGCTGCAGTTGCAGGTCGAAGTTGGCTTAGTTGATGCATTGAAACTCGTGGCGCGGATGCGAACAATCAGTTTGAAGAGCATTCTTCGGACAGAGACTTTGTTGAAGCAGACTCTTGGCGCAAGCTCTGCCGTCCGTTCTTCGGTCCGTTCTTGTTCTCGTCATTGATGTTCATGTTGAGCAAAACAGCAAAGTGTCACAATGGAATTGGGGGATATTGGGGGTATGAAGTCGATTCTGAAGAACGACAGCCGGATTTTTGAAATATATGTTGGACTTGTTTTTAATGTGCTTGCTTTGCAGTGGCTCAGTGTCCCATTGCCAAGCAGTCAACTTTGCCTTGGGGGACGAACCAGATTCCTGCATATTCCTGCTAAGCAGTGTTCCCAGAAACAAGGTTGAAAGACGAGAGTCAAAGACCGCAAGAAATGCGCTACCGTTGCATCATGGCGGGCTTCGATCCAGACATTCCAGAAGAAATGCAGGAGTTCATTCGTGTCAGCACTCTGTGACTCAGCGAATTACAGGAAACTCGCGGACATATCGACATATTCGACAAAAATTCTGTAATCAATCTGTAATCATTGTAATCATGATTACATATCCTGACATATCCTGACATGTCCTGACATGTCCTGACATGTTCGGACCTGATCATTGTGGTTTTCTCGATGTTGGCGGCTTTCATAGACTTGGAAGATGTCAAACACAATGGTTGGCAGTTATTGGCTGCTTACAATGTTCAGTGCTGGCCGTGGTTCTTAGTGAATTTTCGTCAACCTTTGGTCACTTTGTGTGTCTTTTGTGCTGTGGTCATTTTGTGAATCTCATTGACTCATGGGAGATCGCATGGCATGTCTCATGCCATCTCATGCATGTACTATATTGCAGAATCATATTAGATTCATGCTAGATTCATGAATATCATGAATCATTCATGAATCATTTATGAAATCTCCTGGCTGAGGCAGGCCTTGGAGGATGACAATCCCTTGCCCAATGTTGTCCCACAGGAGGGTCAGAGGGGTGTACTGAAGAACTTCATTGAAACATATTGAAACTTAAGATATCACAAGAAATCATAAGATATAATATATGTATATATATATACATATATATATTATATATTATATATACACGTAGATATTATAATTTATGTGTATATAGTTGCATGATGTTAAAAAACACAAAGCTTCATGATGGATCACGAGTACCATTGACAAATTTGAGAAGAAAAAGCAAGTAACACTCCCAATACTCCCACGGCAACGAGATTGAGCAAGCAGCCGTCAAGACATGAGTTATGTCGTCACGCTGTTGTGCTATGTTTATCACATTTTGTCACAGCTTCCATGGCGTTAGACCTGGTCAGCAAGGGGGTGGTCTTGACCTGGTCAGCCTGGTCAGCATGGTCAGGGGCCGCAAGAAAGCAAGCATTCGATGCACAGCCGCGCCTACAGCAGAGAGCATTCAACGAAGGAGGTGCATTGAAAATTATGTTTCACGTGGTTTTATTGTGAGGTCCAAACAGGTTCAAACATGTTCAAACCATCTTGCTTTTTGAATCCAGCACCAGGAGATACAAAGAGCTTTGGAAAGCCACAATACAGTCCACATGCAGTCCACTGTCATCAAAAGTTAGGAACTGTTCTGTGATGTTCGCTTTGTTTTACTCCATCATACTCTGTACTCTCCGCCCATGTCAGGGGACGAAGGATATTGTGGAAGACAATGCCAAAGAGGAGCACAACTTCAAGGAGCGGAACAATTTCCTTTTGGTGGCAAACGAGAATCGTCAAATTGGTAGCTTTATATAAATTTATTTAATCTACACTAATGTTTGTACTCCTAGACGACTTAAATATTGAATAATATTGATATGTCGCGAAATTTGTAAGTACATATGCATGATCCCTCTGAGACAATGTAGGACAGACTCCCGTATTCGGCAGTTTCTGTTGAAAAAACTATGAGTACATGCAACACTTCAGATACTTCAGAGCCTCAAAAAGAGAAGAGCCTGGGGATAAATAGGGCTCGGCTACAGTATATATTCACATGATATTATATGACAAAGTAAGTATGAGCAAATATGGTCAAGTATGGTCAAGTATGGTATGGTAAAGTGTCAAGTGTGTGGTCTTTTGATACTTCACTGATTGAAATGGTTGTCATTGGACTCAACGTGGGGCAATGGTCGGGACAGGAGAAACAGCTGTTGAGCAAAGCGGAGGGCTTGGAGCTTGCCATCTCTAAAATGCACCAACAGCATGTCCAGAGTGCCACTTGGATCAGAACTCGTAGTGGATCCCAAGATCCCTTCGGATTCAACACTCAACAAAGGCTATGATGGCCATGTCACTTTTTCAATTTTTTCATACTTTTCCTTTTTGAAGTGAGCTCAGTATGGAGGACTTTTAAGGATGTGGACTTCACTGCTGCGAATGTGCAGTTTGTATCAGTTTGATCGGCTTGGCAGGTGGACTCAATAAGAGAAGAACTGAATTTCTACCGAGATCAGTCCGCGGAGTTTGAAGAAGAACTCTCGCCACCTGTCAGCTTTGTCACGTTGCGGAATCAATCCGCTTTTTGAGCAACTTCATCCAAAGATGTCAAATCACACACAGATCTTTCAGTCTTACAGACAGCAAGTTGCAATATTTTTTTAAAGGATGGCTTGCCTATGACTACGACTTTTGTTTCTGGTTGGAAGTTATGCTGTGAGGAATTTGGAACGAGCAGTTCGAAGCAACTGCAGGAAAGGCCAAGAAGGTCGAGTCCGTTCACACTCGGTCGACTCGCCATGACAATGCCAAGACAATGCCATGACGATGATAGGTGGTACCACTGGCACTGGCATCCAACATTCACGTTGTGAAAATTGTGCCTGTGCCTTTTTGGACAGGTGCCAGCCAGGTGGAAGACCGCTTCAAAGATGCGAATCTTCATGTTCTGCAGGCATCCGACTTTGCAGAGATTTTAGGGTCTTGATATTTGTTACACTTGTTACCTGGTGTTCAAACATGTTCAAACATGTTTGCTTGCGTTTTGGAAAGGCCGATCCTTTTTGCATGTGACTGAGCATCGTACCAGAAACCGACGTTCAACTCTCATCAAATGTTATTATTTAGCGAAGCAGCTGTTTGTGTTTCAACATGTTTCAACCATGCTTGCGTACGATGATATTTGAAGCAGTGAGCATGACTGAAAGATGCTGAAAGTCAAGGGTTGGTGGCAGCTCGGCCCGACAGGATTTGCCCGACAGACTTCTAAAACTCTCTGTGATGGCCAAGGCCATGGCCAGACAGAGCCAGAGAACAAAGCTTCACGTCGCTGGCGTTGCGTCATTCAGACATTCATATTCCTGAAAGAATTGACACACAGCAAGACTTGTACTGTAACACAAATGTCATTCAAATGTCATGGAGTGAGCACTGCGAAAGCTGTTATGTCAAAGCTGGACTGCACATAAACGTCGCATGCTGATGCATGCTGCAATATGCTGCACATGCCAGGCATCTCGCCAAATCGTAGAGAGTGGTTCAGCTGCAGACTTGCGAATGCAATAGCATCGAGAAACGTCATGACAGTTGAGCATGCTCAATCAAGTTATACCGTATCAAGTTCATTGCAGTGGATTTTTCGTTTTGGCATCAATGTGAAATAATGTGAATATTGAATTATTGAATTATTGAATAAATATTGAATATTATTCATAGGATCTGAAAGGCACTGGCCTTGGTGACCTGGAGAGTTTGATACTCTCGCGGAACAACATCTCGTGAATTTTGATGAATTTAGTAGATATGTGTGTGGTGTGTGCGAAGGATTCAGGATGATTGATACTGTATGCATACAATACATTTATACAGATTTATATGATTTTATATGATTTTAATTCCCGTTAAAGTTTTTGTTGCAGAAAGGCCGGTACAGAATGGTTTTTGGCTACCATTTTGTGCAAAATTTTGACCTTGGGTGAAGCCCTATTGTAAGGGTACCCCACCTTGGCCCAATGTTTTATATGGATTTTGGGGTTCAAAAGTCCATGGATAATGTTCATGGTCTGAGTCTAAAAGATCTCAATACCAGAATGTATATTGAATGCATCGAGCTCCAATGTCGTCGTCCGAACCAGCAGAGCCTTTTGTTAAATTGCTTGTTCGATTTAATGAAAACAACACTTGTTTGGAAAAAAATGACACAATCGAAAATATGGCAAATTCAAAAAAGCGTCGTTATTTTATCGTTTTAATCTTTTGTAAATATCATGCTACTGCTATTTCTGGAGATGTTTGAACATTTCAGATTTTCTGTGCAATATTTTTGGTACATTGACGACAACATCAAAAAATACAAATGAAATATTTTTGATGACAAAGCCGAATGACAAAATGACATGTTTTCGCCTTAAATCCAATAACGAGACTGTTCGAGATGATTTAGATCATGACATCCAACTGTCGGAAAACCTATCTTATAAAATATTGGCAAATTGTATTCAAGGGTTGGTTCGGCTACTTGGAAAACATCAAGGAAAAAAGCGTCTGAACGCTGAACAACAGCAACGAAAAAGAACGGGAAAAATGAAAGGCGACTCGGGAATGTGGTCCGGTCGGCTGGGCTGTTGGTCTAGGGATCCTAGAAGAATTCGTTTGATAGCCACCTCCAGTCCCGACCATTCTGTAAAGGCCCAGCTCGAGCGAGCGGATGCGAGCGCATGCGAGCGGATGCGAGCGGGTGCGAGCGGATGCGAGTCAAGCAAAATCGGGGCACCATTCTGTAACCAGGGGTCAGATTAGCCTGCCATTCTGTAACAAAAAATTACGTTTGTGAACGTTGGGTTCTGCAAAATTGTAAGACGCGCACCTTGGGCACACCATTCTGTACTTACAGAATGGGGCCCCCAACCCCTTGGGCCCAACCTAAACCGGGATTGATTTTATATGATGAGAGTGATATCTGTGTACATGATTATACATGTGATTATGATCGTAGATACTGCAATTACAATAAATTCGATATACACATCCTGCAGCTTCAAACTAGCCAAGGAAAAATGTTCGAGGAAATATACGCATGCATTAATGCGCCATTACGAGAAAAACATTTCTTGCCAATACTACCCCCCAAAAGAAAATGCTATGCACCAATCCGTCAAACCGTAGCCATTTTTAGCGGTCACTAGCGTATGCGCTCACATTTTTTAGGTTTCATCATGTTTCATCAAGATTGTCACCACTGCCTCAGTGGTTGTGCAATTTATGTCCCGAGACTGTACCCAAGAGACAACGCGCGTGCATTTGACCCTTTCATCAGGTTTTTGCAGTAACAGGTGACTTCTGAATTCACACATGTTCAGTTTGCACTCGTTGGTGGATATTTGCGTTTGTTTGCCCATATTCGCTCGTTGCAGGGTGTTGTTTTTCCTCAGTCAAAACCACGGAATTCGTAATCAGCCACACAATTCTCTAAGATAGTCAGTGTCGTTGTGCAATCGCATGAAATTCCGATTCTGAACACGTGCGCGGCTGATTTGGTTCTCTAGCTGCCTGATTGACATCACTTGTTGATCTGGCATTCACCCCAAATAAATAGCAGGAGAAAAAATAGCTAAATGGCTACCATGGGTTGAAAAAAGTTCTTCGTTCAAACAAAGTGTTCGTTTCACTGGCGTTTGCTCGTTTTGCTGAAATAATATGCGCATTTGAGCTCAAATCATGAAGGTGCAAAGATATTGGCGCATTTGAAGGCCCAAGATATATAGATATATATATATACTACCCGCAAATGACTTAGTCAGATGCGGACATACCCTCGAAAATCATACTCCTATGTCATGAGCAAACATACCCTTGGTGGTCTGGGTCCCTTACTCCTATGTCATCACAACAAACCATAGAAAACATGTTATTTTTAAACAAGTTTTGCAAGGATATAAGGCATTAGGAAATAGTGGGCAGTTCCTAAGTCATGATAACTGCAGCTATTTTGCTTGAAAGAAGTGATTGGCTGATTGGCTCCTGCACTGCAGGACACGCTGGCATGTTTATTTGGTGTTTTTTTTTTCACTCGATTGTTTTAAAGCATTATTACACACTTTTGCAATTGAAACAAATTTAGAAAATGTTGTAAAATAAACCAGAATGTGAGAATATTTTTCAGATAAAAAACATAATGGAATGAATATTTTTATTCTTTCAAACAAAAAAATATAAATGTGACATTTCTCATTTTCCCGTTGTTTCCCTCCCGTTGTTTGTTCTTGTTCTGGCCCGTTGTGGTTCCTTCCCCGTTGTGTTACCCCGTTGTTGGGTCGAAGTCCTCCAGCCTGCCGTTCCCGGCTCAGATAAAAATACTACTGGCAGATGACTTAGGAACAAGAGACTCCATTGACATAAAAACTAGTCTTTTTTTAACCATTTAATTGGCCGAGACTGAGAAATGGCCAAGACTGAGAACGTGCAGTCCTAAGTTATCAGGGTTTCACCTGTTGAGAGTTTGGGGAAACAAATATATATATATATATATTTAACAAAAAAAAACTACTGGCAGATGACTTAGGAACAAGAGACTCCATTGACATAAAAACTAGATTTTTTTAACCATTTAATTGGCCGAAACTGAGACATGGCCAAGACTGAGAACGTGCAGTCCTAAATTATCAGGGTTTCACCTGTTGAGAGTTTGGGGAAACAAATATAATATATATATATATTTATATATATTCAATAAAATCACTACTGGCAGATGACTTAGGAACAAGAGACTCCATTGACATAAAAACTAGATTTTTTTTAACCATTTAATTGGCTGAGACTGAGAAATGGCCAAGACTGAGAACGTGCAGTCCTAAGTTATCAGGGTTTCACCTGTTGAGAGTTTGGGGGTATATATATATATACATATGTTTAATAAAAATACTACTGGCAGATGACTTAGGAACAAGAGACTCCATTGACATAAAAACTAGATTTTTTTTAACCATTTAATTGGCTGAGACTGAGAAATGGCCAAGACTGAGAACGTGCAGTCCTAAGTTATCAGGGTTTCACCTGTTGAGAGTTTGGGGAAACAAATATATATATATATAAATGTATATTTATTTATTTAATAAAAATACGACTGGCAGATGACTTAGGAACAAGAGACTCCATTGACATAAAAACTAGAGTATTTTTAACCATTTAATTGGCCGAGACTGAGAAATGGCCAAGACTGAGAACGTGCAGTCCTAAGTTATCAGGGTTTCACCTGTTGAGAGTTTGGGGAAACAAATGTATATATATATATACATATGTTTAATAAAAATACGACTGGCAGATGACTTAGGAACAAGCGACTCCATTGACATAAAAACTAGAGTATTTTTAACCATTTAATTGGCCGAGACTGAGAAATGGCCAAGACTGAGAACGTGCAGTCCTAAGTTATCAGGGTTTCACCTGTTGAGAGTTTGGGGATATATATATATATATACATATGTTTAATAAAAATACGACTGGCAGATGACTTAGGAACAAGAGACTCCATTGACATAAAAACTAGTCTTTTTTTAACCATTTAATTGGCCGAGACTGAGAAATGGCCAAGACTGAGAACGTGCAGTCCTAAGTTATCAGGGTTTCACCTGTTGAGAGTTTGGGGAAACAAAAAAATATATATATATACATATATTAAATAAAAATACTACTGGCAGATGACTTAGGAACAAGAGACTCCATTGACATAAAAACTAGATTTTTTTTTAACCATTTAATTGGCCGAGACTGAGAAATGGCCAAGACTGAGAACGTGCAGTCCTAAGTTATCAGGGTTTCACCTGTTGAGAGTTTGGGGAAACAAATAGATATAGATATATATATATATATATTTAATAAAAATACGACTGGCAGATGACTTAGGAACAAGAGACTCCATTGACATAAAAACTAGAGTATTTTTAACCATTTAATTGGCCGAGACTGAGAAATGGCCAAGACTGAGAACGTGCAGTCCTAAGTTATCAGGGTTTCACCTGTTGAGAGTTTGGGGATATATATATATATATACATATGTTGAATAAGAATACGACTGGCAGATGACTTAGGAACAAGAGACTCCATTGACATAAAAACTAGATTTTTTTTAACCATTTAATTGGCCGAGACTGAGACATGGCCAAGACTGAGAACGTGCAGTCCTAAGTTATCAGGGTTTCACCTGTTGAGAGTTTGGGGAAACATATATATATATATATATTAAATAAAAATACGACTGGCAGATGACTTAGGAACAAGAGACTCCATTGACATAAAAACTAGTTTTTTTTTAACCATTTAATTGGCCGAGACTGAGAAATGGCCAAGACTGAGAACGTGCAGTCCTAAATTATCAGGGTTTCACCTGTTGAGAGTTTGGGGAAACAAATATATATATATATATACATATATTTAATAAAAATACGACTGGCAGATGACTTAGGAACAAGAGACTCCATTGACATAAAAACTTTTTTTTAAAACCATTTAATTGGCCGAGACTGAGAAATGGCCAAG